CTCCAAAATGCCAAGAATTTAGGAATTTAGGGACTAAGATTACTCTCTTTTTTCCCCAAAGAAAGGTTTTTAGATGCATATCCTCTGTCTGTGTCTCTCTATATGTCCAGCACCCCTAAGAAGTAAGAATTCTTACCTAAGAGGTAAGAATCCCTAAGAGGGATTCTTAAAGTTTTTGTTTTCTGATGTCCATGTTTAATTTTACCCCAGTGGACTGCTCAGGATTGGTGTTCTTGGTACTTATCAGAATATTTGTTATTATAATCAGGCAGCCTTTGTTCCAAAACCTGGCTCTACCAGATTTACTGTTCTGTAAACCTAAGCACATGTCTTAGACTTTATGAGCTTCTGTTTCTCCATCTGTAAAATGGGGATATTGATACTCACTTTAGTAGGGCTTTTGGGGGGATTGAGAGACATAATATATGTAAAATACTTAGAATAGTGTTAGCTAATATTAGGAAGTGGCCTTAACTTTCTGCAAGACCCAACTGTACCACCAGAGAAAGCCCTTTCCTGGGAATGTGTCACCCAAATTTTATCATCCTTTTAACATTGAGAAGACATGCTTGTGTTGCTTGGTGGGGAAAATACTGAAAGTTGTATAGTGCCTCTTCCTCTTCTTCATAATTTCCCATCCACATGGACAGGAACAAACTCATTGTGTTTTACCAATCAGGACTTGGAACTTAAACAATATTTGTTACTTATAGTAAAGCCTGATTAATTAGAACTCTTAACCAGAACCCTTAATTAACTGGCTTTTTTTTCTCTGTGTCCACTTCTCTTTAAGAAAAAGAAGGAGGCCAGGCATGGTGGCTCACGCCTGTAATCCCAGCACTTTGGGAGGCCAAGGCGGGCATATCACCTGAGGTCAGGAGTTTGAGACCAGCCTGGCCAACATGGCGAAACCCCATCTCTACTAAAAATACAAAAACATGAGCTGGGCATAGTGCACCTGTAATCCCAGTTACCTAGGAAGCTGAGGAGAGAGAATTGCTGGAACCCAGCAGGCAGAGGTTGCAGTGAGCTGAGATTGTGCTACTGCACTCCAGCCTGGGCAACAGGGCAAGACTCTGTCTCAAAAAAAAGAAGAAGGAGAAGGAGAAGCAAAATGATAAGAAAAGTTAGAGTTATTACTGGAGAGTTATGGCTGGCCCATGGTTAAAATGTACTATGCCCCCTGCACATGTACCCCCTGCCCCAGGATTTAGCCTCGTCTGCCTCTCCATCACGTCTCCAAGAGCCTGGCAGAGCTCCTCATACTTAGGGAGTGCTCAGCAAATCTTTGTTGGACAAATGAAGACATCACCTATGTTCTAGCTACACTTCACTATTGCTGTTCTTTACACATGCTCTCAATTTTCCTCTTCCCTGCCTTTGTTTATACTGAAATTATTTCTCTCAGTCCTATCAGAGGTGGACTTTGAGATGGAGTTATTTGTGCCTTGTCTTGTCTTGCTTATAAGGCAGTAGGTTCCTTGTAGACATCAGTTCTGTTTTCTTCATTTTTGAAGAAACACTGCATTTGATACCTCATATGTTAACAGTTATCTAGCACTTGCAGTGGACTCAGTAAATGTGAGTTATATCTATTTCTTTATTTAATGCTCATATCACCTTTACAAGATATGTACTATTATTATTTCCATTTAATATATGGGAAACCTGAAGCTTCAAGGAATGAAATAACCAATATCTCTGGACAGTTTGTTGAATTCAATAGAATTAAATTTGGTCTCTAAGATCTTACATGTACACAGCCTTGCCCATAGGACCTGCAGTCCCAAAGGATGTCTTTAAAACATTTTTCTTTTAATAGAGAGGGGGCCTCACTTGATTGACCAGGCTGGTCTTGAACCCCTGGCCTCAAATGATCTTCCTGCTGAAGGCTTCTAAAGTGTTAGGATTATAGGTGTGAGCCACTGTGCCTGGCCCCAAGCCATATCTTGATGATAAAGAAACTCTTCTCTGTTAAAGAGTGGTGCTGCCTATAGAACTGGACTTTGCAAAGCAGGAATACAGGCTGATAATATTCATCCTTCATTTCTAAAGAGTTTCTTAAAGATCTCAAAATGAATTAATATATATTATCATCTTTGGGCTTCAAAGCAATCTTGAGACCTATGTCAGGTATTATGATTGCCTTTTATGGATAAGCATGCCAAAGCCTAGGAAGAAGTGACTGTAAGAAGTGAACCCAGGTCTTCTGATCCTTAGTGAAGGCTCTTCATTACATTCTCCATTAATATATTAAAAGCAAAGCAAAACAAACAAAAAACCCCAAATAACTGTTCAAAATAGAAGATGATTCAGGAAGGTGTCTTCTGGGAGCAAAGTGGGTTCTTTCCAGGAAGCAGCTGTGGAGAGGGCTGACTGGAATACAAAGTCTTCTGGGGAAATCCTATTTCCCAGGAAATGGGTTTAGCTGGAACATCCTGTTTCTCTTTTCTATCCTGTTGTTTCTTGAGTGCTGCTAACAGAGAGGGGATCCTGGTCCAAAGACTCTATGGGCTACCCCTGTCTCCTCAGACTAAAGGGAGAAAGGAAGGCATTTTCCTCTTTGATCCCTTTCTTTGTTTTTTTTCTGCTCATGCCCTGCAAACCTCCCAGATACATGGGTGCCAGCCCTGGGTGGGAAGCTGCTGCCTGTTATTTCTCTTGTTCCCCCTTCCCTATCAGACACTGCTTCCTGGAGGGATTTCTGAATGGGATTTCAGTGGAAGGTTCCAGATGGGCAGAGAAGCAGCCCATTTCAGAAAGAAGGGGTTTAGATTTAAACCCTGCAGCGGGGGAGGGATAGAGAGATGGAGGCGGGTGCTGACTACTTTCTGTCTTGATTTATCTCAGGGATTTCTAATTTATTCCCCACATCACCTAGAATATACATTACTGCACTTCCTTTATCTTCCCTTTCAGAATCTAAGCCTATCTGCAGCCTTATGAGCTCTAAGGACATTTTTATTTCATAGCATAGAATTTTACTTTCTTACTTCCCCTTGTTCTTTTTCCTTCTCCAACTGTCAGTTTTTTGGTTAACCAAAGATAAATGTGGGAAGGCCAGAAGTGGCTCTGGGGAAGAGATGTTGGTGCTGGTTTGTGGGACTCTCCTGAGAACCATGTGGTCCTGCTGAGCTCAGCTTTGGCTGGTCCAGAGAGGCTCAATGTCCTGTGCTTGGTCATGGTGTGGTGGCTTGTGCGGTGACTGCTTTTTCTATCTGCTATTTCTTGGGTGTTACAAACTGACAGGGGACTGTGGTACAAAGACTTCCTGGACCAGAAAGGGAATGGAGGGAGAATCTAGTATTTTCCCAGCCTCCAGCCCAACAATAAATTTCATCATCCAAAGAAGATTGCTCTCTTGCTTTTATTTTAAGATCTTTAGGAATGAACGCTTAAAAATTAATACTATCTAGTCTTAAATATTTCCATAGTTAAGAAGGATTTTTGAATGTTTAACTTAAAAACTAAAGGCTTTTTTTGTATTGATATACAGAGAAGCAAAGACCAGTGTCTTACCATATTGACGCTTTGTGGGGGGGTTATCCTGGCAGGCCCCATGGACCGTAGCAGCCAGGGAACGCCTCAGCCCAGAAGCTAAGCAGGGTCAACTTGAGGGAGGCTCGGATGGGGGACCGCCAGGGGAGACCGGTGGTTGACAGTTTCTTCCCTTCATAAAGAAACTGACTTTTGGATTTGTCTTATTATGTTTAAACATTCCCGAGTTTCAAGATGGACAACCTTTGGTTGTGACTATGATAATATCAATAGGCTGGTGTGGAGCAAGTGGGGAGTCCTATTTTGTCCAGTGGAAGATGGAAAATATTGTTTATAACTCAATCTGTGAGAGTAAACTATTAATGTTTAGGGAATCTGGATGAAAGTAGAAATTTGTAAGAGAATTCTTTGGGTCTGAAGTTGTTTCGATATAACAAGTTAAAAATGATTTTCACAAGAAATGATTTCAATCTTAAATTCTTTGTTTGATTTTTATGAAGTTGATGAAGTCAGGGGCAGTGGCTTGTGCCTATAGTCCCAGCTGTTCAGGAGGCTGAGGCAGGAGTATCACTTGAGCCTAGGAGGTCATGATCAGCCTGGGCAACATAGCAATGATGCCATTGGCCCAAAATCATAGTTATAAATGGCAAAGCCAGGATTTGAACCTAGCCTCCTTCTTTCTGAAGTAGATGATGACATTTCATTGAGTTTAATGCTCTGGACATAGCAGGATAATGGCCTGGACAAATATCAGGGTAGGACGTGTCCCTGGCATTTCCCTTTTGTGGACTTTAGGCCTGTGGGTTTTATCTTATTCTAGTTGTCACCAAATTCCCCTGTGTCTTACACTTCCATAGCCCTGGCTCCATGGACTATTCCTAGGGGTGGTGGGGCCACCCTATTGCCACCTGGATGAATGTTTAGTTGGGCCTCCTCATGAACCAGAGACTCACAATAGTAGGCTTGACTTTGGGCAAGAAAGGATGATCACATCTTCCAACCTTCTAATGTTGACTTCCTATAAGAACCTCCAGAGACCTCTCAGACACACAGCAGTTCTGACCCATTTTTGTTTGGCCGAGCTTCAGGGTGCACTGTCTGTGACTCTACCAGCTTGTACCCTGAGGAGAAATGAGCTCAATTATGGAGGCAGGTCCCAGTGAGGCTTTTCTGCAATGCTATTATTAATCTCATGGAGCATGGAAAAAATATAAAGTCAGATCTGTCTGCCCCATTTTCGTCTTTGTTGATGTTCAGGATAGAGGATCATAGTGGGCGATACCATCACTGCTGAATTAAAAGGCGAGTTTCCCTCCAGCCGTGATGTCTCTGCCTTTCTTTCGCTCCATTTCCCTCCACGGCCCCCCTGACCCCCTTTAGGACTCTACTGTGAATCCCACAGATTGTCATGGAAGGGTAGGAGTGTGTTATAACTTTGTTTTTTAAACTTCTGCTTTTTTTTTTTTTTTTTTTTTTCAGTTTTTTTTTTTTTTTTGGAACAGAGCAGCACTTTCCAGAGGTGATGCTAGGAGAAGAGTTTCTTAGCCTGAGTCTGGACCAGGTGTGCAGCTTGATATCCAGCGACAAGCTGACCGTCTCTTCAGAAGAGAAGGTATGGCATGGCTCATTGGGAAAACGGGAGCCTCACTCGTCAGGTGGTCATGGGAGGGGCTTGTGGTTTGGTGAGATCTTTTCTTTCAGAGAAAAATAACAGCTTTTAAGAAAAATCCTTTTAAAAATTAAAAAAAAGGCTTTCTGGCTCATGACCATTAGATTCTAGACTCTTTTTTTTTTTTTTTTT